CTATTGTGTCAAGACTTCTACAAGCATTAATAATATCTTGCAGGGGTGGTGCTGGACGAGCCTCTTCAGTTGTCTCTTGTCCAAACTTGACTCGCCAGGAATGGGGATTGGGATGAGACGCATACAGCCGGTCCCATGGTCTCAAGGGGCTGCCATCTGCCCGTGCTGTGTCTGGCCATGGTCGCCATCCCCACGCTTAATGAGGACAATGTCCGGGTGCTTCCTCTGGGTCCAACACATTTTTATTCATTGCTAATGTGCTCGTTTACCCAGGATGGCCTCACCGAGTCTCAATACGCCTTCATGGGAGAATCCTAACAAAAACTATCGCAGTAGGGGACGATGTTGTTACGTTTGTATTGACCGAAATGAATGAACAAACACTCACCCGCAAGCCAATGTGCAGCCTTACGGTTATTAAAAAATAGACCAAGGTCTCCGATAAGCGGAAGGAGGCCTCCACAGTGATTGGTCGGGAGGCAGGGCATTTTAAGTGACTGGAGGAAATTGCTGAATGAGAATAGTCGGGAAACAGAGCGGAACCCAGAGGCGACGGTTGGTATCCGTTAGAGTAGGAGGACAGGGGATTGGCTACGGGGGGAGGGGGGGGTGGTGGGACATTGAGGGAACATTCGAGAAAGGTTGCTCAGAAGATATTAAAGGACCAGAGCACAAGGGAAGGGGACGTTAGAAGGAAGGCACGAGCTTCAAGACCAAGCATGAAGCCCGGACCAAGTATTTGTTACTGTGTGTTAATAAAAGTTTGTCGTTTGAGTCATTTCCCGTTCATGCCAATGGAGTAATTTGCGGATTAATTTTTTCATCGGAATGTTTGGCCGAAACCAAATTGCAGGAGTGCTTTTTTTTGTTGAGCTGGAAAACTGGAGAACTCAGAAAATAAACCCCGTCCAGAACAGGGGGGAGAACAAACTCCACGCTTGAGTTGGGAATCCAACTCAGGACCTTCTTGCTGTCGGGCACGAGTGTTACCACGGCAGACGCTGTAGCGCACACATCCATGATGTGTTCAGGTACCTTGATTGACCCTGCTGCAACCAAATGCCACCTCAATTGAAATACAAGCTGCTGTGCGCGTCGCCCACTGATTGCCATTAAAACGTTTGTTTATTATGTCCAGACGAACACAATTGGAAAGAGCACATTGCGTTCACGCGAAGCTTATTCGTGCCCTTTGTTAATGCATTATAATGCTATTTTGTTATCTAATGCAATTGCATTTTTAAGAACGAATAGTACTCTGTTTTTGGTGATGGAAGCACAACTTGGACGTATAATCAAACTCACGATGCAATGTTCATGTATGCAAATGACTCCTGTGTTTGTGTAGATATTTTTTTCACTTAAATACAGTTAAATGAAGCAATGCACCACATTTATACTTTCCTAGTTGGCCTGTGGCCGCCATCACTAAAGAAATGCTACCTGCCCCACGCATTTGATTCTAAGCTTTTATTACCTTAAATCAACAGGTAGTGGTGGGCGGATACAGTAGGTATGGGGGTGTGTGGGGATAATCTGGGTTGGTGGGATTAGAATTCCCTCTGAGAGCAATATATGTATGACTTACGGTGTATATGCAGCCAATTTGTCAACATACTTCACCAGGCTGGTCAGTTGCGTGTTGGTGGATTTGGAGATGGGAGCATAGGAGTTCAGCACAACGCTGGATTTTATAACAGCCTACAAACACGAGTTTTATGAATGGTGGTCAGCCACCCAAGCACCATCCAGCACAACATTCCGCATGATTAGGTCATGCGCTTCTCTTTTCCATGAAATTGAGCAGGACATTGATTCATCACAAAATATTTCATTATTACCCGAATAAGACAATATCATTAACTTTTTGCAAGAATAAAATATTTTATATACATTTGTATTGAATGTATAGTTTGATTGGATATAAAGGTCTCCACTCAGCATTGGAGACATGTATATAACCACACAGCCTACAGAAATCCTTAAGTTCTAAAACGTGACAAGTACCATGGTGGACAGTATTTCATAAAATGAACACTGTGTAGCCGAATTAAAGTTTGTACTCATTGCATGAGGAGTTATCCACAGTAATACCTCTTTTAACGAATCCTCTGGGAACGAAGCTCCTTCATAACGAAGTCGGCCGTGGAGGACCGCTTCTCCCCCATATTGTTTCAACAACAAAAAAAAACATCTTCAGAAATTATGCAAATCTAGTCAAGAGTATAATTGTGAACGCGACCCAGTGGGGTTTGTTTTGCTGTACGTGAACAGCAGTCAATCAGTGAAGACCTTCGCGAGTCTCCCTCACTGGGCACAATCTTCCCTTCTCCCGCCTGCCATTTGCTCGAGCACCTGGTGCTGGTAAAATGTTATCGTGTCTTTTTTTCAGTGATATAGTGATTTTACTACCTCCATTATGTATGTTGACATTCTTTCGCACCACTGTACGCAGCCAATGGTGCTAATCGGTGGTGGGAGGAAGGACAAGAAGCTCAACACAACAAGCAGTTCTAAAGAATTTAGTTTTCAATCTAGATTTTGAAAGTGCTTAGCTCCAGTGTCTTCCTAATTTCGGAAGGAAGAGCGTTTCAGACGGCTATAGAAGTGCATCTGAAAGCGCACGATGCTGGAAATGGAAATGCACATCATAGGAGGGTAGAGACAAGAGAGATGAAAAGTGAAGTGGCGCGTTCGTTAGGGTTAGTGTAGTTCACCTTAAAGACCATTTTAAACCAAGCGGACAAAGTGAAGGCTAAATTTTGATTTAAAGCTTTCGTGACTGCAATGATTCATCTTCTTTGGTTCTTTCGGTAAAGTCACGTAGAATGAGAATAAAATAATAAATTGATAAAATAAAATAACACAATAATATTCTCACGACGTTTCGGCCACAACACAAGCGGCCTTCATCAGGTGAAGGGGGCGAGACTGTCTGGTAGGACAGTCCAGCGCTGTCCTACCAGACAGTCTCGCCCCCTTCACCTGATGAAGGCCGCTTGTGTTGTGGCCGAAACGTCGTGAGAATATTATTGTGTTATTTTATTTTATCAATTTATTATTTTATTCTCATTCTACGTGACTTTACCGAAAGAACCAAAGAAGAGAAAGTGAAGGCTACTGTGCAGAAATGTTTTCCTATTGTACCCCCCTTGTCTAAAGTTCTGGAGCGCATCCCTATGCCTCCCATGTTATATCTACCTTTCTAAAAACGGAGTGATATCATGGAACGCATCTACTTCATGACTTATAATATTAAAATTGTATAAAGTGTCCTGTCAACATAATCCCACAATGCTGTACATCTTCTATATATATCAAAGTAAAAATTTGTCTGTGGGTTTGTGGCGGGGTTTGTGTGTGGGTTTGTTTGTGTTCGCACGCTTGGATTTGGCTCTCCAACGGTGGGGTTTACGTTAAATAAAAATTGCCAGGTACCATGCCGTAAGCCCCGCCGTGAGCAAGCGCTAATCCTGTTTAACAACCGTCAACTTTTAATTAGTTTATTTAGCGATTTAGTGCAATTTTTTTGTGCTTGCTTTTTATTTATTTATGATGCGTGCACGACCGTACCAGCTCACACGCCTTCAGTGGGACTGAAGGGGACATTTTCTTTCACGTTAAAAATGCTATTAAAATACACTAAACGCTCAGGTAAATTCTTCACTGTGATGTCTCCCCCACCCCGATGCGTGCAGTTACTACTATACAGTCTGTAGATGCTACCACTATAGGCCGTATATATTACTCCAGAACGGCCGGGGAGATCGTGGCTGTGGGGGGGGGGGGGGTGGTCAGGGCTAGCATCCCAGCCCCAGCCTGCCAAGGTGCCACCTCGGCCGGCTGGACAATCTAGGCGAGGCCGGAGGCTCTGCACGGAACGAGGCCTCACCACGCCACTCTGTCAGGTGAGTACTTTGTGCTATAGAGTAGATAAATACTGCTTTAAAGTCAGCATGTACTACTGTAGGGATAGCAGGTACCACCACAGTCGGTATGCACTGCTGTAATCATAGCAGGTACCACCACAGTCAGTATGCACTGCTGTTAGATTTTTAAGAGTAGATTTTAAATATTTTGTAGACCCAGGCAACGCCGGGTACTTCCCACTAGTTCATTATATATACGGAACAAATCCCATGTACACGGTTGGCTACACACGGCGCGAAAGAAGCCCAACATATGCACACACACACATGTACAAACCAAGCAATTGAAACCCCTAACGACCAAGCAAAATCGAAAATGAATAAACAAATTAATAAATGGCACCAAAATAAAAAAACCTACAAACAAGAAAGAAGTTATCAAAACAAAGAAATGAGTCCAATAGGTCAACATCCCAGACCACAATCCCAACTTCCCAACAAAGCCAGGAAACCTTCACAGGAGGGGCGGTGGAGTGCCAAAATGTAACGACGAATTTATATCAATCAGCCCAAAAAGTGATTACCTTTTTTTCTCGCGTATGCCTGGATGAATAAAATTACCTTCAGTTCAAATTTTAATCATATAGAGTTGATTTGTGGGATGTGAAGTGGGAGGTAGAGAGCAGACCTAGAGAAGACAGAGAATCCGGGGAGGGGAGTAAACTGAAAATCGGAGGGGAACGATAGGCAGGGGCTAGCCCGTGAAGAAATTTGAAATCTGCGAGTGCGATCTTCAAGGTGATTCTGGACTGGATAGGTAGCCTGCACAGGGATCGTAAAATGGGTGTAAAATGATGACGCTTCCGGGTATGAGTGAGTACTCTTGGAGCTGTGTTTTGAACATACTGAACACGTAGGATCAGAGACAAAGAAAGACAGAATAACAGAGAATTGCAGTAGTCTAGCCTGGAAATTACAAATTCATTCATTGTTTCTGCAGCTGTATGGGAGAGACAGTTGTGGATACGAGAAATATTGCGAAGATGAACGTAAGCGGTCTTGCACATGGAGGAAATGTGGGAAGAAAATGAGATGTTGGAGTCAAAAATGAAACCCAGATTTCGTGCCTGTTGACAAATATGACGATGTACAGTAGGTTGATGATGTGAGGTAATTGATGGGTTTTTTTATCAACTAACAGAACTTCAGTTTTATATGTATTACATTAAAGAAAATTCGCTGCGAGCTAGTCAGAAACTGCAGTAAAACACGAAGATAGGGTGGTAAGTGGATTTAAATCAGATTGATTAAAACTGCATATCTCTTGTGTTAACCGAGGTATAGCCTATACTCTGCTTTGTGTTAAGCATCATTCAACCACGATCTGATACATTAACTTTGATTGTTGGACAGAAATGCACCTTTTTCAATATCTTGTTGAATTGCGTATTAATTGCAAGCCTCAGCTCAAGGGTGCGTAGGCAGTAAATGAGCACGTTCGCAATCGGGCTGAGCAAGAACACCAACTGAGCGGCGCATCTCAAGTTGACGCCCTCGCTGTCGGCATCCTTCACAAAGCGCGGCAAAAGGATGTCAAAAAGAACTGACGTGAAAAACACCGCGAGTGCCATGAAATGCGTGCCGAATGTGTGCAGGGCTTTGCTCCTGAACGCAGAGCTCGAATTCTTGCACTCAATAAAAATCCGAACGTAGGTGTACGCAACCACACAGAGAGGAAATACAACCAACGTTGCAACCATTGACGATGAGACAACATCCATTTTACTCGTGTCACCGACAGCCAACTTTAATAATCCCATATTATCACAAACTATGCCCTGGATTTGCCTGTTTTTTTCGCTTAGTTGAAGTGAAAGGAGAAGGATGACTATAATACTGACTGTAACGATTGCAATCAGCCAGGACAGTAATGCCGTGAAAATGGATCTCTTTGCAGTAACCTTGGTGTGGTAGTGCAATGGGTAGCAGATGGCCAGGTAGCGATCAACAGACATCATAGCCAATGTCAAAATCTCATTCTTGCCAGATATGTGAAGTGTGAACATCTGTGCGACACATGACACGTACAGGATCTCTCTATCGCCTGTCAGGAGAACTTGCAGCTGCTTGGGCAAGCCACCTGTGCTGATAATGATGTCGCCAATTGCGAGATTGCACAGAAAAATGTGCATGGGCTTGTGTAAGTCTGTGGATACTGCCACCGTTACGAGCACCATCAGATTGGCGGCAGTTATCGTTAGGTACATGGAAAGGCACAGGCTGAATATGAGCACCTGCACAGGGTACGGGGCTTCAAATGTGGCGAGGTGGAGCACGGAGCTTCTGTTCTCCATAGTTGCGTTCCTTGGGCTCCTGCGTCAACAGCCCGAGACCTTATCACGCAGTCCCTGTTGAAGTCACAAAACATCGTTAAATAAAAACATCATGGTACCTCCTTTTACAGTACCAAAATATGAGAATAGGGTTTTCCGCTTTTTATCTGGAAACAAAACAGGTGTTAAGTGTCATCATTAGACCTCCTTTGCCAGTACCAAAATGTAATAATCGGGTTTTTCTCCTTTTTTCTGCGTCATCTGGTCGAGCACCAATTGGGTCAAGGCTGAAAAGAAAGCCGTGCCTTGGTGTGGACCAATCAGTTTCAAGGACAATGCATATATTATCATAGTATGTTTTTTGTTTGCATTTTGACTGCAGGTATTGTGGTTAATGCAGACATGAATCCTTATAAAAAGGTTTCAGTTTTGTTGCCAGAAAAAAGGGGAAAAACCCTATTATTAGGTGTTAAGTTGTTAAAACACCAAACTGAAACCTTTTATATTTTGGGTACTGGCAAAGGTCCCATGATGTAGATGCTCGCCCCTAGCTCTCATTACTCTGATGGTGCATTGTCTTTGTGCTGTACGCCTTTTGGCGTCCTCTGGCCGAACACCATTTGAGACGAGGCTCAAAAGAAAGCTGTTTCTGGTGTGGACCAAAGACAAAGCTTATATTATCAGATTATGTTTTTGGCATTTTGACCACGAGTATTGTGGTTAATGCAGACCAGATTCCTTGTAATAGGTTTCAGTTTAGTGTTTTAACAACTTAACACCTATTTTGTTGCCAGATAAAAGGGGAAAACCTATTCTAAAATAAAAACAGTTTGTGAAAATGCGTCAAAATGCTCACTAATAATATGAATAACTGACGAACAATGGCTCAAAAATAGAAGATAACTCACCTTGTTTTCGTTGCGTGAACTGAGAGCAGATCTGTGATGCTCGTGGAATCTGCTGATTTATATGCGTTTTGGGGACCACGTGACCGTGAGCCTTCAGGCGCGATGGGAGGTTCTCGGCTGCCTGGTGCGTGCTGCAGCGCCCTGCGGATTTACCCATTGCCCTGAGGAGTCTTTTGAGTTAAGATTAGCTCGTAATGTGATATGTACACTTCGGGTTGGGAGGTGACTGCATTATAAGCAATTGGGTCAGTTATTTTTTAAAATCACTGCATACATTTTTAAATGCTTCAACCTAAATTTTTGAAAAAAATATATTTTTTAAAAGTCATCGTGTTGTTCATGGCACAATTATAAAAATGGTGCATATAATAGTAATAGGTTTTTACCCTTTTATCTGGCACCAAAACTGACACCTTTATACAAGGGATCATGTTTGCAATAACCACAACACAAGCAGTCAAAATGCAAACAAAAAGAGACAATTCTGATAATGATATGCACTGTCATTGAAATTGGATTGGTCCACACCCGAGACGGCTTTTCTTAGAGCCTAGTCTCCACTGGTGTTGGACCAGATGACGCCAACACCAGTGGAGACTAGGCTCTAAGAAAAGCCGTCTCGGGTGTGGACCAATCAATTTCAAGGGCAGTGCATATCATTATCAGAGTTGTCTCTTTTGTTTGCATTTTGACGGCTTGTGTTGTGGTTATTGCAAACATGATCCCTTGTATAAAGGTGTCAATTTTGGTGCCAGATAAAAGGGTAAAAACCTATCACTATATCTTGCTACTGGCAAAGGAGGTCTCATAGTAGTGTATATAATGTCAGCGAATTCGTTAATCTTTTTATATAGTGTGTTAATGCATGTATAACTTAGAATGTATTATGTATGGTGGCTTTATATATAGAGTGCATTAATAGGCAGTGTTGTACTATGGGCACCAAGTATGCAAGCCTCCATAACAGAATAAAATGAGATGTCACGTAGAATTCCATCATCCATTACTATTGCCCCTGGGTATCAATTTGAGATCTTGTATTCTAATTAGTCATATGCCTTCCTAGTGGGGATGTTATTGCTCAACGGGCTCATTAATGAACCCATTAACTACTGTTATGTCAATTATGACTTTCTGGGCTGTACCTGTGGAAATCCGCGTATCTGTGACCTATCTTCACGAGCCTGGCTGTTAACTGTCTGCTCTCTCCTGAAAGTGTAGCTAGTTGTGATGAAGGGTCACTTCATGAAGACTTGGAGGGTTTCATTACAGCCTAAATCATTGGTTTATGGGCTGTAATTAACCTCAACACCTAATGACGTTTTAATATTGTACAGAAGTTTCCAGGACGCACTCGGAGACGACGTGAAGGGTTAAGGGCTTTTGCCGTAAGTTTATTATAGTGTTCACAATTTACACGGGGGGAACAACTTCCCAGGGGTTAGGGGTTCCGGGCTAGGTCCCACTACTTCCCGACACAGCCGGCTGCCCTGTGCTGCCTCCTCTGCACCGGCCATGGCTTCATCCAACACGGCCGACCGAGGAGCACAGCCACTTCCAGCCCTGGCGCTGTGCTCTCCCCCAGTCCTACCCCCTTGCCCCTGGCTCCCCATTCCACCCTACTCCAACCCTTGACTCCAACTACGACCCCATTTACGTCACGGGCTCTCACTTATATATCCCTGCGGGACATGACGACATCCCGCCCCCAGGCGCGTATGACGTCACTTCCTGTGATGCCATCGCCTCCGGAGGCGAGGGTGATGTCATGTCCGCAACTACTCCTCTACATTACCCCCCCCCCCCCCCCCCCCGTGAAAAGAAACAGCCAACCCGGCTGCAACCATGACGGAAGCGGGCCCCCTCCCGGACCGTGTGCTGAACCATTGAACCAAATGCCTGTGCCTGAAGGCAAAACCGGCTGCTAGAATGGAACCCAACGTTAGGGCAGCACAGCGCCACAGGCACAACAAGAACAACAAAAATAGAGTCCGCAGGCCTCAGCCGCCCGGCGGCGCTGAACGGGCGCCGGGGCTGGGGCCCGATGAACGGCCATCAAAGTCGCATCCCCCTCGAGCGGGTATGCGCTTCCGGCCCGCTTCCCCATGTGGCGTCCACCACCCATGCAGGTGGTCCGTCAGTGGGCAACAGGCCCACCGCTGTGGCCTCCGGTGTCCGAGGGGTCTTCGTCGGTGCTACTTGGGAGGGCCCTGGGGGCACACACACAGGGCGGACATCGCCTCCGTCAACAGGACCAGGCCGGACAGGCACGCTGGACGCATCACCCGCCGGCCACTCAGGAGTTGGGGGTGGATCCCCCAGGGTAGATGGAACATAACGTTTGAGCCGGGACGGGTGCACGATCCACCGCCGGCGACTGAACCAACCTCAACGGGGCCCTGCTAAGGGCGATGCAATTTAGCAGATGTGCCAACGGGGACCTGGGGACAATGCAGCCACGCTTTTTGGCCCACTACCCACGGGAGGCCTGTTGCCTGGTGTTTGGGCAACCACTCATTAGCTGCCTGCCAGCTGGCAGAATTTTCGGCAGCGGCCTGCCGTGCCTCGCGCAGCCGGTCAAGCGCGGCCTTCAAAGGAACCGGCACCGCCGACCCCTTCCTGGATGACCCGACGTCCATCTGAACGTGCACTGGGGGCTCCGGCTCCCTACCGTACATCAAATAAAAAGGCGAAAATCCCATTGAGGCATGAGGGGCCAATCGATACGCCGCCAGGACCTCCAGGATGAACAGGTCTCATTCTGACTGGGACGTGTTCACGTGGTGGCACAGCATGGACGTGAGAGTGCGGTTCAAGCGCTCTACCATCCCGTACGATTGGGGGTGGTAGGGCGAGATGCGGATTTTCTTGGTGCCAAGGAGGTCACACACCTCCTTGAGCAACCTAGTCGAGAAATTCCACCCCTGGTCAGTTAACAATTGTTCTGGCGTGCCCTTGTTCAACATGTACCCCTGGACGAACGCCTCGGTGATAGAGGAGGCCGACTGATCAACCAAAGGCCACGCCACAGGCCAACGTGTCAGGTACTCAACGCACACCAAGAGGTATTTATGGCCCCGTTGGGATGCAGGGAATGGGCCCAAAATGTCGAGCGCCATGAGCTCATTAATGCGAGAAACCCAGATGGACTGCAGCGGGGCCCGGTCCTGGACAACTGGGGCCTTTCTTTGCACGCAGTCGTGGCACCCCTTTAAAACAGTGCCACGTCACCCTCTACACCCGGCCAATAATAGTCCCGCTTAAGGGTCAATAAGGTCTTGTGGTAGCCAAGGTGCATAAGCTTCTCGTGAATGGCTCGGGTTAATTTACCACGCAGGCTAGTGGGCACAACCACGCAATAGCGTTCCAATTGGGCATCCCAATGCATGAGGAGTCCGTCATGCACAGCGATTGCCGGGGCCGCCGACGAAGCTGAGCTCCGGGCCTTACGCCCAACGCAGTGTCGTAGCTTCAGCAGACAGGAATCCTCCATCTGCAAGCTGGACTATACCTCCCGGGTGAGTCCCAGGCCGAAATCCGCGGGCACCGCCGCATCTGGTGGGGTGGCTGCCTCGGCCAACGCGACCAACTGGGCCGCGGTGTCCCCTGGGGCCTTGCAATGGCTAGAGCCCAGGGCGCAAGCACATCCACCGCCTGCCGGCAATCAGGATAAACCGTCCGCATTTCCATGCTGTGCCCCCTTACTGTGGATTATGTCAAAGGAGTAATCCTGGAGCACCTCGAGCCAGCGGGACAGCTGACCCGAGGGCTGACTAATCCTCAGCGAATATTGCAGGGCCGCATGGTCGGTTCGGACCGTAAACCATCTGCCGTACAAGTAGGGCCTATACAGTTGGACAAAAAAAACTATGGCCAACAGCTCCCTCCGGGTCACACAATATCGCTGTTCTGTCGCGGACAGAACGCGACTTCCATAGACCACCACCCTTTCAACCCCGTCGACCACCTGAGCCAGGACCGCCCCAATGCCCATGTCACTGGTGTCAGTGTCGAGAAGGAAGGGTTTTGAAAAATCCGGGTACCCCAAGGGCGGCGCATCCGCCAAGGCCATGCGAAGCGCCACAAAAGCAGCCTCTCCTCCGCGCCCCAGTGGAATCTTTGGCCTCTGGCGGAAAGCGCGTGCAGCGGCTTCGCAATTGTCGCAAAATCACGGACAAACCGACGATAGTACTATGCGAAGCCGACGAAGCTACGCACCTCCACGACAGATGTGGGAGTCGGCCACGTCCGGACACAAGCCGTTTTCTCCGGGTCCGTGGCGACACCTGACGC